GGTTAATTGTTGAACTTTGTGATAAGTTGTTGAGGCTTGCAGTTATTTTTATGGAAGGTTCACAATTGTCCAGTGTATATATTTCCTTGTCATTGGTTGAGCTCATCCTTGTTAAGTCTTTATCGTAAAGGTTTAGCTCCTTTGAAAGGATTGTTTACGAAAGCAAGCAATCTTCTCACAAGCAGTTACAGAATTCATCAATCTTGTTACAAGGCAGTTCGTGAAATTCATAGATATACCAGCTTTTTTCTTTTTAATTTAGTTTATTTTATTGGTAACTTTAAGCTTATGTGAACTTCAACTTGAGGGGAAGTGTTGAGAATACAAAAATTAAAAGTTGTTTATCAGAGTTCCAGCCAGCAGTGTTGAGATTTAAAGCATCAAATTAACTCAACCAAAATAAAACATTTATGGTACTATTGATCTTAAGAGAAAAATGAGAGTAAAGAAAAAAAAAAGAGAAATCAAGTGAAGTTCTTACCCTGGGCAGGCATGAATAGCTCGGAAAAATATTTGCTTCGCTGCAGATGGATTGCATGCAATCTTAATCTCATATGCTATATAACTACGCCAGAGTAAAACTGATTTGTGCAACATTTCATTTGCCAATGCTCTCTCAAACAATCCATGGATTCTATGCTTGGATGCTCCTCTAATTATTTCAAATGACAATGCATAAAGCCAAACGATCATAGATGGTTTCCTGGCAATGTAGGCAAAGCAAGACAATTATCATCTTGTTTAAACTTTAAAAAGAAAAGGCAAAACTGCAATCATCTACCTTGTGTCAATAAAAGGGTAGTGAAACAATTCATGCTCATAATACATGCAACTAAGGGTGTATTGATTAATTCATCATTCAATTCCTATTCAATTCTAAGTTCTAACTCTCATTCTAGTTCTAATTATGTGTGTATTGTGTATTGTGTTTGAGTAATTACTACTGTATCTTGAATTTCTCGATAGTAAGAATTCAATTCCTATATCTTATAATTGGAACTGAATTCCTGCATAGGAGGATTTTATGTCGGGGGTGGTGGTAAGTTAAATGAACTAGATTATGTTCTAATTTTAACTGATACCATGAAAACGACTAGAACTTATTAGAAACTAAATGGAAAATGAAGCAGAGGCAGGATAGATGCATGATATTTATCCATCTTGGTCAGTATGACAACAGTGAAAACTGACTAAAAGGATACTACAAATTAAGAGCGAGAACAAGGGCAAGAACTATAATTTACTAGAAATTAAATGGGAAATGAACCAAAATGCAGAATAGGTGCATTTTGATTTGATCAATCTCGGATAGTGTGACAACAGTGAACACTGAATAAAAGAATACAACAAATTTAAGAGTGCAATACCATATAAGTAATAAGATTAAAACAAGAAACATGCTTGTATTCTTACATCACATTAAATTTCTACTAATATTTTCAATTATCTCATTCACAGATACCAAGCCATTTTACATTTACGGAAAAAATGACAATGAGTTGCCCCACCCTTTCAACACATAATATAAATATCTGGACACCATAGCTCGGTTATGCCTATGCATGTGTAGAACCTCATTATTGCTCAGCCTATTAAGAAGAGCATTTCATGTAAACACGTTAACCTCTGAAGAAACTTGAATTTCCAAAATTCTTTGGCAAAAGGAATGTTGTAACAATTTTGGTTGAGCTATTTGGTAATAAAAGGACGGCATGTGTCTAATTTCAGGGTCCAATGTCTAAATCCAAGTACCAGGTTGTGTGTCATATTGGAAAGACTCCACCAAGGTTAACAGTGCTAGCATATTAGTAGTCTCCCACTCACGTAAGTTCCTAAAAAAAATGAAAATTCCAAGCAATGAAGTACGACTAGCAACATAGGGCCATTATGCTGCAAGCATAGTGAGCCAATGAATAGTAGCAGTAACATGCTCCAAGCAAATTTGTACTAGATTCCTGGACAATTGCACATTTAAGTGAGAAACAGTTAGTAATGTCTAGGTCTAGCGCTTAATATAAAACTATAGGTGCAAGTATAAAACTATAGGTGCAAGGCATATGTGAATTACTGTGACTCTAAAAATTAATGCATGAGTTAACATTGGGAGATGAGAAAGGTTTTTCACACTATAATATGACAACAAGGCCTCAATGAGTATTAAGCACAACCCAGTTCAGTGTGAGGGTACAAAATATATTAACATTGATTAACATTGCACTAAAACAATGGCACCTTAGACATACCATTTGACCTCTGGAGACTAGCTAGCTGATACTTTCACCAAAAGTCCCAGCAACAAACAATTTCATAGGTTGGTTTGCAAAATTCTAAAATATTCCATATTTAATTCCAAAATAAATTCCAAAATATTCCTGAAGATTCATAAATCCCCAACTTCTAGAATATACGATTATGTTTCTATAGCTAGATAGTTCACATTGTGAACATCTCTTATGACTACATTTAGTACAATAATACAAAAAAAGAAGGTATGTCCCTCTAGCATTCCCATTGGTCCACCAGCAAAGCTAAAGCAAACAGGGCTTTTTTTTTTGTTTTGAAACTAAAAGTTGCACAGTTGCAAACCTTGTTGAAATGTTTGTTGTTTTTTTCGTTTTTTTTTTCTTGTATGTCTATTTTTTTTTTTCTTGGAGGATAGCTTATCCTCCTGTAGGATGTTTTCCCTTCCCTTCCCTTAATCTAGCATGTTTTTTCTCCTCTACAAAAGACAACTCCAAAGTTAAGCAGTAGAACAAGACAGACATTAGGATTCGGAAGCAAAAAGGGATCATTTGATGAGGTCTTCTAGCATTTTGACCAGGAGGGAATAGAGACTTGTCCTCTAATAAAAGGAAGAGTGGGGATAATGTTAGGATGGATCTTGCCAACTTTTTGCTGCTGGAGGAAATAGCATGAGGCAAAGATCTGCACTCACCTGAATTAAGGGAGGTGAAGGGCCACCAAAAGATGGTGGCAACCCTAACTGCCAACTTGTGTCACCTCTTATTGATCTATATGGGGCAGCACTCCCTAGTGGCAAACTGTCTTGCTTCACATTGGCGAGGAGTAGTACCAACTCCCATTGGACAAATAAGTTGGTTGCTATTGTTCTTTCCGCCACCTATTCTTGTAAGATAAGACACTTGCATTACGAAAAGAATGAAGATGATGACTTTGTTATTTTGACAATAGAATTTGAAGCATTTCTTCCTTGAAGTTCTAGTTTGTACTGCACTTTTCTTTTTCTATTTCCCTCTTTTCCGTCTCCCTTTCCTCTCACTTCTTAAATTCTTCTAAGTCCTCTATTTACCTCTTATTATTTTCTTTTAACCCTTGCACTTTGCTAATCTAGTAGCATCAACTCCATACTAGTTAGAAGTTTTGTGATTGTGAATGATTGGTCTACACTCTTCACTAACAAATATTTATCAAAAATACTTTTATGTGATTGTGAATGATTGTTCTACACTCTTCACTTACAAATATTTAACAAAAATACTTTCTTGTTTTCTCATCAAAACTTAATGTGAGAATAAACTAAAAATATGGATAAAGAACCTTACTTTCGAAAGTAGTCATCAAACATCCAGCGCAATTTATTAGATGTTGTATACAGATGGCTGATCTCGACCAAGTCGTTAAAAAGCTCAGGGCTAAAAGGATACATCTGCAGACCTTGTGAAATGGATTCCCAAACCCTTGACATACCTGATTGGTCATAATGTCTCTGAACCATCTTCATATAATAATTTAACAAAAATTCAAGTTGATAACTTTGGCTTCTTCTTTCTGTCAATTATCAAATCAGGTAACTAACATCAGTGAGCAAGCTAAGATAATAAACCAACTTAATCAAAGATGACAAATACCTGTTGTCCATGTTCACTGTGAAAAAAGAATTTAAATCTTCTGGTAATAGATACAATCTTATTTCACATAAAAAAAAAAGAAAAAGTTGTTTACAATTTCATTCATCGCAGCAACAAAAATCCCTTGCTAAATCAAAGATGATGCGACAGCTCACTCAGAGCAACCCATAGTTTTAAACATAAAATTCTGTCCTATTTTCCTTCTTTTGAGCTGGGTTCTGGCAGCCATCTTAAAGGAAAAAGACGCCCACAAAATTGCGTTTAAAAGGTCTGCCAACCTTCGTAGCATGAATTAGGAGCACACATATAATAAAGCTGCAACAACGAAATAGCATACCTTGACTTCACAAGACTTTAAAAATAGAAGAGAAAAGAATTTTCTGAAAACAATTGAAGAAACACTTAGATGGCAGATTGTTTCACATTTATCAAGGAAGAGTTTTCTGGTATATAAGTATTGCTACAAGTTTAATGATCAGGAAGATGATTCTGTACTAAGTTTCTATCCCAGAATCAGGTGTGAAGAAAGAGACAGGGCTGTTTGGAAGGAAGCCAAGAAAGGTTCCCTTTGTCAACAGGACTCTCTGGGACACATTGGACTGCTGATAAGCACTAACTTCCTTGGAAAGCCATCGGGCAAACTTCTGCTCCCTATAGGCTAGCTTTCTTTTTGTGGTAAGTAGTGTGGATGCATGTCTTAACTATTGACAATTTCAAGAAGGAAAACTATGGGCCACGGCTTCTAGTATTTGTAATAGTGTAGGAGAATCTCCTTGCCTTCCATTGCTAGGTTTAGCTGGCTGGAAGCTTGTGGGAAGTTATGTTAGTGTTTATCTTACAATAACAGGTGCTTGCAGGCTCCATTGAAGAGGAGATTTAGGATTTACTATTTCTAGTCACAGGCAGGTGTTGGCTGTTATTTTCACCTTCTACTTTCTGGACTATTTGGAGAAGGAAAAAATCTAAGAGCCTTTGAATGAGAGGCTTCTTTGTTCAAAAAGATTCAGGATCTTGATGAACATATATTTTAGGTTCATAGTCATTTCTGTTCCAAAGATGAGGTTCTTTCTTATAAATATTTTGAATTTTCTAAATAGCCAACTTTCCCTATCTTATGTACGCTACTGGCACTCCCACGCTATTCTGTTTATAGTACTCCTTTTCTTTTAACCCAAAAAAAATTAAAGAATGAAAAATAATAAGTAGATCAAAGTCATGGCGTTTCTGGAAGGAATGTGAATTAGGACATACACATGTCAAAACTCAAGCCTAACATTGATAACTTTTGTTTACTAAATGAAAAATTGTTCAACTGAATGAAGAATTGGCCACCTAAGTGGGATGATAGAAAAATATTACCAACTGGACTTGAGGTTGACTCCCATCTCTGTGGCCTCAACAGTATTACCAACCCAACTTATTAAATAATCATAGAATTGCGTGGAAAGCTAATACAAGAATGATTGTAGTCTGAGCATATCTCTATCCGCATACACAAAAGGATGAAATTGAAAGGCAGCTGGAAGAGCTCTTGCAAAAGCGATAACCCAGCCCAGAAAATCCTATTTTCCTATCTCTAACTATTGGTAAATAGACTAAATGAAACTAGACTTTTGGTATTGAAAAATATTTGGGTATGTTGCATTTGTTCACGTGCGTCAACATCAGCGAGGAAAACTTGACCCAAGAACTCTGAAGTGTGTGATTGTGGGATCCTTTTCTACTCAAAGGAAAAATGCTACTATCCGCTCACTAAAAAAATATATGTATCTGCAGATGTTTCCTTTATTGAAGATGAGTCATACTTTAGCCAATCTTATCTTTAGGGAAAGCTTGAATCAAAAGATAAAGACTTGTTCTTTTTCGCTTTACCTTACACTCTACATCACCGACAAATGATCCTCCTTAATTACCTCAACCCATAAAATGACTCCCCTCCATTACTTCAAAACCCAGAAAATGACCCAGCACCGGTGACTGTACATAACCCAAGAGTTTCTCCAGTGTACTCAAGAAGTAAGAATTTGAATCCCAAACCGAAGTATATTTAAGTATCAAAGTCAAGTTCTGAAAATGAAGTACTTTTGAGAATCCCTAGCCCTCTAGATACCTATTGCAATTCAGAAAGGAATTATAACATGTACCAAACACCTACCTTATCTAATCTCAAATTTTGTGTCACTTGACAAGTGTTCACTATCTCATAAGAAGTTTCTCACAGGTTTAAATACCACGTGTATCTCCAACACACTACCTAAGAAATTATCCTATGAAAAATGAAAATATCCTATGTATATAGAAATGTAGGTATTGGAGAAAAATTGCACATGGGAGGCGGCAAACATTGCAAATGAGTGTTCACCATAAAGTACAAATTGATGGTACAATAAAGACATATAAACCCAAGCTAGCGGCGAAGGGATACACACAGACTAGTGGAATAGATTATTAAGAGACTTTTGCACCCGTTTCTAAGAGGACCATAATCTGAGTACTATTTAGTTACAATTATAATTGACAATTAGAAAAATTTACTGTAAAAAATGCATTCTTACAGAGGATATTTACAAATTCGGCCAGACTTGTAAAAAATGTAGGAGCCAATAAAATCTGCAGATTAAAAAAGGGTGTATATGAACTGAAACAATCACTGAGAGTATGACTTAAAAAGTTAGCAAAAATGATGTTGGCAATGAGATAAAAGCAAAATCAAGGCGACCACACTCCGTTCATCAAACACTCAGACTCAAGGAGAGTTACAATCCTACTTGTGTATGTAGATGACATTATTATCACAAATAACGATGAAGAAGACAAATTGGCACTTAAACAATGTTTCATAAATGAATTTGAAATCTCTACTTCCTTGGAATTGAAGTAGCCCACTCAATACAGGAAATTTTATCTCACAGTAAAAGTATCAGTGAACTTCTAAAAGACATAGGCAAATTGGCATACCAACTTGCAAGCACGCTAGTTGATGTCAACCATAAGCTGGGACTAGCAGAAGAAGATACAACCACCAACAAGGAAATGTACCAAAGGCTAGTCAGAACACTTATCTATCTATCACAGAAAACCAGACACCAATCATGCAGTAAGTGTGATAAGCCAGTTTATGCACAATTTTAAAGAAATGCATTTATAGGTTATTAAAGAAATGATAAATTAGATTAAAGAATATAAGGACAAATTGCATCCTTTGTAATTAATTGTAATTTATTATCTCCTTTTCCATCCTACAAAATCTTTATATATAGGATTATAACGTTCAATAGAATACACATCAAGCTATTCTTAACACAAGCAGCATATTGGGTGCTACAGTATTTGAAAGGAACACCATGAAAAAGTATCATATTCAGAAAGAACACTGGATTACTACCAGAAACCTACACTGATACCAATTATATTGGTTAGTAGTAGATAGAAGGCATAAGTTACTGCACCTTCCTTGGAGGAAATCAAGTAATATGGAGAAACAAAAACAGAATTGATGACAACGTCCAATACAAAATCAGAATTTCGAGTAATGGTACAAGGAGTCCATGAGTCATTATGAGACTATTGCGACAAGAAGTTATCAATAAACAATACTCATAATCCAATATAGCATAACAAGACAAAGAATACTGAAGTTGACAAACATTTGATCAAGGGGAAAGTAGACAATGGGTTCATCCGTATATCTTACATGAGTAATTTCCAACTTGCAGATGTGCTCATGAAGGACTTGAGCAATGCAGCATTTCACAATCATTGTCAAGCTGGGCATGGAGAAGGTTTATTCACCAACTTGAGGTGTGTATAATTTATTTTGTAAGGGTATAATAGTAAGATACACCTATGTAATTAACTTTTATGGTTAGTTTTTCCATACTAAAAGTTGTATACATATAGAACCCAACTATTCAATAATAAAACATAACATTCTCTCTTCCACAAAATCATGTTCTCAAACAACTTTTTGAGACAAATTTTGGACTCCTATAGTAGATGAATTACTCTAGTTGTACTAGGGCTGACAAAACTCGTGCCAACCTGGTCAACCCGAGATGATCCACCAAAACTCATCCTAGTTATTCCTCTAAAAAAACCTAAGGCAAGTTGGACCAGGTTGGGTTACTTTTTTTCTTATGCCAAAATGGGTTGGGTTCAGGGTTGACATTGAAAAACCCTCCACTCTTTCCCGGTTATATTTCTAATTAAGTAAATATATTATGTATTAATTAACTAAAAAACATATTATATATATTTTGATAATTGAAATAATTATATTAATATATTGTATGCATAATCAAGTGGGAATAGTTGCATTTAACAAGAAATCTGGTCGGACAAAAATAGAATTAATTTTTTAAACCTACTCTGGGTGGGGTTGATTTTGGGTTTTCAAATTTTAAAACTAGGTTATATTCGGATTTCGCAACATCTGTCCCAAGCTTGACCTATTACCCTTCCTAAATTATAGAAGAGTAAGTTATTGACCTAATTCGACTAATTTCGTGGCATCACCAGTAAAGATTGGAAATGGTTAGTCGGGTAAATAAATAGGAAACTTGCCCCTACTAGCCCAAAATGGATTGGGCAAATAGGAATAGTTAGCAGTTGTAGTGTAGGTATGGATAAAAAAATGTTCCCTCATATCTTGAGATATCTCGAACGTGCATCGATGGTTACTAAATAGTTTTTACACTGTTCAGCTTTTATATTTTTGCCACTAAACCTAGGACCACAATCTAGTGTTTCCTTCAGTCCCATACTTCTCTTCTTATCAATCGGTACTACAACATTAAAATGTCCATGGTACTAATAGAATTTCAAACAAAGTATTTCTTATATTACATGATACTACCTATAACAAGCCGAACCTCAAATGTCGATAAGTACGGACGTTTGCACACTATTTCCAACTAGTGAAATCAATAAATATTACATATACGGCGGAAGTACACATTAATACACATTACTTGTAACAGAATAATTGTTTGTTTGCAGATATATGAGACATCTAAATTAATTACAAATTTAAAATAGAAACTAATAAGTTTTTCTTCACAATCTTCTCTTGGTCTTAGATTTGTTTCTCATCTTATCTTATCTAAAATGGGGGTGATTTGGGGTGAGTTTCACGAGTTCAGTAAGAAAAAAAAATTTATAATACAGACTTACGTACATACATTCAAGCAATATATAAAATATAATAATATTTATAATCAAAAAACTATTAGGCAAAACATCATAATTAAAATATACAACAAAACAATTAACACGCGAAACAAATGCAGAGATGATTTAATCTATCTCATGCAAACATTAAATAATCAATGAACGAAAGCACATAAACACCAAAATAACCTGGAAGCACCGTCTTAAGTGTCTGGTCTAGAACATCGATACCAGCAGCCCATCCAGTTGTAGCCTCTTCAAATAGTGAAGCTGAACAAATAAGAGCAACAGACTGGTCATCTATAACACCACGAGACCATGTTGATCTTACTGATTTTATTCTCTCCCTAAACCCTTGGTGTGCTCTTAGCAGTTGCAAACTGGAAGGTTGACATTTAAAAGGACTATATGTCATGCCACTTCCAAGGCAGCATAGAATATGGATAGCACGAGAAAGTGATTCTTGACTACTACCAGAACTATTGTTTAGCTCTGCCTCAGCATACCAAAAGTATAAGAGAGGAGAATGAGACTGCATATCCTGCTCCAATGCATAAAAAAAACAATATTTTCAACATTCCAATTAATCAAGTCGTGACACAAAATAATCGAATGATAAGAAAATCTTACAAAAGCATCAAGGCCCTATTTCATACCACCCAATTACATGAGAAATGTAGAAGAGATCAATGAGGCAGGGTGGAAAAACAACACAAAACAGAATAATAGTTATACATAAATAAACGTTATATATTATATACAATAAAATATTAGAACAATTTATTTATAAGAAAAAATAAAGCATAAAAAAGTAAAAATAGCTTCCCTTTTTTTTGCAATTCCTTCCATGTAATGCAATATTCGGATTACCTTTTTTTCAATTAGGAGAGATGATTGAGTGGATTAAAGTGTTAGTTTGTTAATTAGTTGTACAAGTTATTCATAACAGGGTTCAAATCCTTATCTTTTTATGTGGAGTATATAATGTACTTTATCTTCTGAATTATCAGGGAATATTTTATCAAAGGTTTATAATGCATCAATTTATCCTTATATGATTTTTGTTGAATAATATACTGGAGGGAGGACAAGGAACAGAGAGGATGATTTCAAAGCAGATTCCCAATTCATTAGATAGAGAATGAGAAGATCTCTAAAATTTTGTGATCCTCTGCCGAACTTATTACTATTCAATGAACATTTCAATATTATACCTTGAAAAGGGTACGACTCTTCAAGCTCTTTAAGATGAGATTTTGAGTCTCACGTGTGTACTATTTCACCACCAATACATTTTAAAAATGAAAATTTGTAATTAAAATTTCTTTATTAAATTATTATTCATAATACTTAATTTACAAAATGTACATATATAAGAAAAAAGTAGAGAGAATTTTATTAGAAAACTAAATACAAATCAATCCTATAAAAAGAAAAGATCTTCTAATTATGAAAATCGATTATGGTTATTCTTTATAGGGAGAGTTCCCTAAAGATGCAAACTATATAGGAACTGGACTTCTACAAGAAGTTGATTCTTGTACTCCTCATCAAGCTTGTTTGAATATGTTGAGTAAATCAAATTTGGAACTCAATTATTCGAAAGTCTTCCTAGGTAATGCCTTGGTGAAAAAAGCTGCAATTTGATGGCAATATTGAAAATGCCATAAAGATAGTGTTCTTTACTGTTTTTTCTTCAACAAAATGTCTATCAATCTCCACATACTTAGTTTGATAATGATGAACTGAGTTCTTTGCTATGTTTATTGTGCACGGATTCAAAACACTTTCATAAACCCTAAAAAGGGAATTCTCAATTCACCTAATACTCTTCATAGCCGCATTCTGTCACAGACACCATGTGCTAAAACTTTAAACTCCGCATCGAATTACTCCTTGATACGACTGACTGCTTTTTGTTTCTCTAAGTAACTAGATTTTACCAGACATATGTATAATATCCAGAGGTAAATCTTTTATCAATTATAAAATCATCCTAATCTGCATCAGTATTATTTTAATTTGTTATCTTCTGTTTTTCTTGAAAATAGTTCTTGTCTATACCGCCTCCATAAGTTCTTCAATTGGATTATTCATTAATTGATTTACCAAATTGACAGTAAAACTGATATTTGGTTTGATATATGAAAGGTAAATTAATTCACCCACTAAATGCGGTAGTTCTTTGTTAATTGGAACACTATCAATTTTACTTCCCACTTTAATTTTGGGACCCATGGGTGTGTATGCAGACTTGCACCCAAGCATTTCAGTCTCCTTTTTGTTTTCTTAAAGCAATAAGTCTATCATCATATAAATTATCAAATGAGAGATTTGAACTCAGATTACCTGAAGTATTCAATGATGTTTGATATGGATTTGGATTTGTATTCATGACTTTGATAAGATGGTTGTTGCTCTTTATTTTCTTAGTTATCGTTCCTTCTAGTGTAGACTCAAAGTTCAGGTTTTTCAGTACAGTGAGTAGATTCAAGTACAAGTGTCTCATTTGTACTTGTGTCTCATCTCAATCTATATGTTCTAGAGATAGAATAGGCTTAGTTGAAGGATGAAAATATCCGATGGTAGAGTCTCAAAATTGAGATTCTTGTGTGCATTCTTCTCTATCTGGATACAAATTTATAGTATGGTTGATTTTCATAACAGTTGACATCCATGAAATTATAGGACGTTTGCATGATTGGTGAATAATAGTTATATCACCTTTGGTTTGATTAATACCTAACAAAAATGCATTTTATTAACTTAGGGTCTAATTTGCTTCTATGATGGTTGTGTACGTGAACAAAAGTTGATCAATAAAAGATTTTGAGAAGTATAGTAGATAGAAGTTGAGTGGTAGGAAAATATTGGAGTGTAACTTACTAGGTTATTTGAAATTCAAGAACTTGTGAAGGCATGAACTCTAGACATCACTATGTACAATAACAAACAGTTTAGAGGTTTCGTAAAACAATGTAGGATACATAATATGATTATATTTTGACAATTGACATACTTCACAAATAAATTTTTTTTTAAAAAAATTATTTCTAAATAAAGAATAGAATAATTTTTGAAGGTATACAAAGTTTGAGTGTGCTAATCGATAACACCATAACATAATTGTCATCTGATTGTCTAAATAAGTTGAACTGTTTTGAAACTCAACACAGACAACATTATAGGATTGTCTCCTAAAACATTTACTATCTATCCTTGAAGAAAAAGAGCTCAGAATACACCTTAACATTACCAATCATCCTCCTTGAATCCAAATCCTAAAGTTCACATAACATTGAGAAAAAATTAGCAATACAATTATAATCTTAAATAAGTTTGTTTACTGATAACAAGTTACAACCCAAATTAAGTACATGAAATACTCTCTCTAAGGTTAACTCTTTTGAGATGAGGATATCACTTGTTCCAACCACTATTGAATGAGATACATCCGCTATTTTTATGGTAAGGTTCTCTTAATATTGATTATATTTTTGGAATAATGTTTTATTCATTATGTGGTCAGATGCCCCCAAGTTAATGATCCGAATATTGTGACTTCCTAAAATAGCATTAAGAGCACTAAATAAATTACATTTTTCAGCTATTAGCCTAAATCCTTTATTATTATTGATGAGATTTTGATGTAGGAACTTTTTTTGAGAGCTTCTATCTGCTCTTTGCTAAATAGGCATGATTCCTTGGTGGAAACACCTTAATCAATAAAGGCATAATTCCCCTCATTTTCTTTATCTGTGATTGATTTGGTGATCTTCAAACCAATTGGTTTTTCATGAATTTTCCAACAATTGTCTCAAGTATGATATGATTTTCTACAATGATCACACCAAGGTCTTCCCTTTCTTTGTCGATTGTCTTAGTTGGGATGAGAGGCCCAGTAACAAAGTCAGAGTTTTGCTCAGTAATAAGACTTGTGAATCATTCTCCCAATATTACTTTTTTTTTCTATTTTCTCCTCTCTTTACTTCGGAAAATACCTCCGAATACTAGATAAAGATTTCATTCATAGTATTCTTATCTGAAATTCATCTAGATTTTTATTCAATTTTATGATGAGAAATTTGAATTTTTTTTTTCCAAAATTTTTTTGCATCAACCGAACAACTCCACGCAATTTCCTTAAATACATTGAGCCATTTTGGGTGGCAAGGAAGCATACTGCAGTACTAGCGCAGGTTGTAGAGGCTAAATTTAATAGCAAAATTTTTTTATGTGTTTTCTTTACTGAATTAGAACTCTGACTGCTTCCTAAATTTCGTGTATCGTCTTGTACTATAAGAAAATTTCACCAATATCATTTGTCATGGAATTAATCAGCCACGACATAACTAGATTATTCTCGGCTTTCCAAATTTGGAACTTTCGATTTTCGGCACTCAATAGGGTGACTTCTCTGGTAAGTATTCTTCGCTCCCTCTTTTGCGGATAAAGATCTTGACCGATTGAGAGCATTGAATGTAGTAGCTTCCGTTTAGCTTGTGACTAGTGATCGGAATTTGAGTGACTTCCGATTTGAGTAATTGGGTAGAAATGATTCTACCAGAATGAGATGTGACTTCAAAGAGGTCATTGGTTCTTATCATGGTCATCCTGTCATCGACAAGAGAAAGAAAAAAAAAGTTTCCTTTCGTAGATTCAAAGATTGTACAAGAAAAGAGATACCATGAAAATTTTTAATCAAATTTCCTACTTATTGAATTTTTATTTATAATGCTTAATTTACAATATCTAGATATATAAAAGAGAATTAGAGTGAGTTTTAATAGGAAACTAAATACAAATCAATTCTATAAAATGAAAAGATCTTTTAGTTATTAAAGTCGACTATAATTCTTCTTTATAGGGAGATTTCCCTAAAGATACTAATATATGTAGAAATCAAACTTATACAAGAAGTTGGATTGCTACAGAGAATAAATCATATTTCATGACTATAATATATACCTAGTATGATATATGAAATATATGATAAAGGAGGGGTATTGGAGTATTTCTATTAACCCATCATGTCATATACGTCTAAGTTGGATATCCAACTACTTCTATTGGGTTAATTTGGAAACCAGTAGGAATATACAAAAACAAACAACTTTTACCGGAAAAATTCTTCCAATGAGTTCCCATGGAAGTTGTGTGGTAAATGGACTTTACATAATTGTAACTAATCACAAATTTCAAAGCTTTCATATCTATTACTAGTTAGAATTGGATGATAACGGAATTGTAGTCTATACTAATACTACATATGAACATACTTCTTGACAGGAATAAAAGCATGAAAATTAAGTTCTTTCTTCTACATCAATATGCTTTAATTCCTAAAGTACCCTCTTACTATCAAAACTGATATCCTTTCTTCTTAAAAAAAACTTCTTTATTGTCTAGTCGTGTAAGCTGCCAAGCCAAACCCAATGTGGCCTTTGAAGAACAAACAAAGCTGCATCTAGCTTTAGTGATGCAGGACCATCTAGTAGTTTTTACTAATATAGGATTACTACGATAATTATCACATTCACA